AGGAAGACCCCCAATGAGATGGATTGGCCAATTGGCAGCATCGACGCCTGAAGCATGGCAACAATAGTGAGGTTGGCCCAGAATCAGGCAGTGTTTCGTTCTGTTGTGCTTAAGGTCACTATGAGTCAGTACTGACTCAATGGAACCTAACAATAACAATTGCTTACATAAGATGCATATTGGATGAAAGCAGAAAATACCACAGAGATGTTTACCTGTAATCTATTGATTACTCAGAGGCTTTCAATTATGTGGATCATGACAAGCCATGGACAACACTGTGAGGTATGAGTATACCGGAACATTCAATTGTGCTCATGAGTAACCCGTACTTAAAACAAGAGGCAGTTGTTTGAACAAAACAAGGGAACAGGGAATGGTGTAAAATGAGCAAAGGTGTGTGTTGGGATTCTATTATTTAACCATACTTATTCAATATGTATGCTGAACAAATTATCTGACAAGCTGGATTATATGATGCAGATGATACAACCTTATTGCTGAAAGTGAAGAGGATTTGAAATACTGATGAAGAGCAAAGACCAGGAAACACAAGGTCATCCCTGACCATTTAATCTTGACTTGGAATTTGTGACCCTGCCCAGAGTCACCCAATAGAAATATAAGAACACTACTTGTGCAGTGACAAATTTTCTTATCACATGTCAAGACAGTAACATTCAAGAGATAAAACTAATTTTAATACTGTTTGGAGGTTATGTAAACCAACACACTAAAATTTGGATGATGGCTACTGAGCCTACTGATTGGAAGAGATCCAGATCATTGCCCCTTGCAAAGACATGGACCCCAATGGAATGCAGACATCGTTAGAGAATGTCATGAATGTTACATGCTGGTAAACATTTGCTAATCATAATTTAAAATGGCTACCACAGTACTTTTACTGGGAACTGGTATGAGGGATATCATTGCTGACATCAAATGTATGTTTGTTAAAACTAGAGAATACCAGAATGATGTTTTGTAGATGTTTCCTCTGTTATATGAGTCCATACG